AAAAATTATTTGATCCGTTAAAAACCTTTAAAATGTAAATTAAGATTCTTCATAAGTTGTTATTATATCTATTTAAAAATGTATGTATTCATATGGCCACAATTATTTTTATAAGCATTTAGATTTTAGAGCTAAAATTTTTGCAAAATTCATCAAAGTCACAAAATTTTTAAAATTAGTTTAAACATAGTTACAAATTTATAAAACAATCATTCATGTTCAGCAATTTGTATAGAAAAGAGCTTGAAAACTTAACACAAGGTTCTCTATAAAATGTAGCTAATAATGAAACAAAACAATCTAAAATATATTTTTTTTTTTTTTACATTTTGATGAAATTATATGTTTAAACAAAAATTAATTATTCTAATTATTTTGTGTATTTTTTTTTTATTATTATTATTTTACAATTTGAAATACACAATCTATACAACATAGCACAATAAGTCAATAATTATATAATATGATATTATAATAGTAACATGAATATCTTGAATAATTAAGAAATCACCCATTGCCCATCGGTGACACTTGCTGAAAATTAACGCTGTCTAGAGTCTAGAACTTTTTTTTTTTATTTATAACAAGTCACGGCACCAGTTCCTTTTTAGACGACGCCGAGGGTTTCCCGGTATGGTTTGAGTGTAGAATTTTTTGTAATTTAAAATATTATTCGTAAGAACTTAAAACATTTACATATAATATATTGTTAAATTTTATACACAAATTGTTATATTTTCGGAAAAAATTAATCCAACCTATTAAATTACTAATAGTAAAATAAATTACTTTAATTGCAATAATATCATAAAATATATTTAGTAAATAGTAACATAGGCTGAGTGGCCACCTTTGATCAGAATCATTTTTCATATTATGCAATGCTGTATCATTGGATTCAAATTCAATACATACATTGCAGTTACCTGCTCAATGACAAGGTATAGGTACTAGAGTTTAGTTACTCCCCCAAGCCCCCCCCCCTAGATACGCCTAGTAACTAGACACCACAGAGTAATACTATTATATATTTGACGTCTACTTGGCAACAGAGCACGGTCACCAGTGGCGTGGTGAACAACATTTACCTAATGCAATTGCTCAGCACTAGAACAAACATTCAAAATTTGTATACCGAAAAATATACCTTTATGAGGGGG